GGCATGACTGCCCAGACGTCGTGGACGCTTAAGATCAGAAGGATCATGACACTTCGCGCCGTCGTGCGCCGCGCTTCTCGACAGTAGCCCGAGAAGTTGGAGGGCCATTAGCTAAGCTCATGCTATGGCCCTAAGTTGCTGTGGTCGTAGACTCACCCGACAGAGTTTGCGGGAGCGTTATAGATTATTCCATATGTCGCAGGGCGACAATACGCTGGAAGCCGGCGTCGCGCCTTGACTTTGGCAAACATGGCGCTCTACGCGCACGTCCACGTCCCTATGGCTTTGCTATAGAGTATACAGCGATAAAAGTGATTGGTGCCACTGCACCCATCGCCTAAAAAGCTCCTCATCATCTGCAGCGGAACCGCCGTGGGCGAGTACCACAGGAATAGTCCACATTGTGAGTACAGGAGCGCCTCCTTTTTGAGCTCAAAGTAAAGCCCGGTACCGATCCATCAGGGATTCTTATGGTACCAAAAAGCGAGCTCGAAGAGTTTTCCGCATACCAAGCTCAGCTTGTGTAGTTACCGGGAGCCCGACTACGTAGACGCCTAACGATCAAGCGATAGCGTCATTTGCTGTAACAGCGGAATCCGCCGAGCGGAAGCCGTACTTCACGCGAGGGGCTAGGACCGAATGTGGATATGAGCACATGAAAGCCGCCCTGTAGGCAGCCTCCGATTGCTGCTCCTGTACCTCGTCGAGACGATTGGTAACAATACCACTTCTTGCGTAAGTCGAGAGGTCGGGGAACGGACACGGTGTCCTCAAGGTTCCAGCTGGCTCAGGTCGCACCGTTCGCGCACCTCATCCTCCTCGACTTCCATGGGAAAGGAGTATCCGACTTTTAGTCAACTCCCTCGACGAGGAAATCCGCCGCACGGGGCGAGCGCGGTGCGTGGCGCTTGGTTGTCGAGGGCCTCAGTGAAGCCGCGGGCAAACTAGCCGGAGATACACCCGTGCAGAAGAAGAAGAAGGGCTATACCCGCCGGCGTTTGGAACCAGATAGGGTGGGTGTTTTGCGTGCTATAGACACATGGTTCATGGAGTGGAGAGTGTTCAAGGTTTTTCTTAAGAACGTAACGGTGTCTCAGACATGCGAGCCTTGTATGAGGCGATAGTTAAATATGGAATGCGGATACTCACAATTTTAATGGGGGAGAGTGTAACGGAGTGGCACGTACCCTTGTTCGAAAAGGCGGGTCGCACAAGATGGTGTGACCGCGATGAGGTATGGATTGCACAAATTGGTGTAATCACATAGTGGTGGGGCTACACCGTAACGAGATGCCACTTCGTGGCAGGATTGCCAGTAGTAGTTCATATTAGTTTGGTTTTACTGTAATAATTTGGGATTACTTTATCAATTTGGAAAATCTAAGGTTTTGGATATTGGTGGCTCTGCCGCAACTAAAAGAATTAAATACAATTTAAATTTCTAACTGAAGAGTTCATTTACCTTGGCTATGATTTTACTTGGATGCAGCGGATTGTAATCCACTGCACTCATGCTGGTTTTGTAAAGAACGTAATGTCGGTGATCTTAGCTTAGGTTTCTTTAAGCAGCGAGCTATGACAGCCCCACTGTAAATGATTCAGACGAAACAAGCTGGTTGGCCATCACTGGATTGTTGAGGATAACAATTGAGTCACTGCACTCGTGCTGGTTCTTGTAAAGAACGTAAGGTCGGTGATCTTAGCTTAGGTTTCTTTAAGCAGAGAGCTACGACAGCCTCACTGGAAATGATTCAGACGAAACAAGCTGGTTGGCCATCAAACTCCAACACTCTGGATTGTTGAGGATAACGATTTAGTCGGCTACAAAAAAAAATTTAACCAGCATGTGCCATCTACACAAGAGAACCAAATACGATATCACAGTGGCAAGCGTAACGGTACGCGCCGTGTTGTGGCGTACGTAATTGTCACGTTTCTGCCTCAAGATTGGATTAAGCTCAGAAGTATTTTATCAAAATTCATTCTGACGTAACATGACAAGAATTAGCACGGATGACTAAAAAAGCAGTTGAAGAGACACGTGGCCTGCTCCCTAGCTTATGTTTTTTTTGTAGATAATGCAGTAATTATATGTAGTATCAATCAAAACTATGTTTGTACTAGATTCATGCCACTCAAAAAGCTGAGGATGATAGGAGGTAAAAATCTACGCGAGGATCATCAATTCGGCCTCTGGGTACCCATTCTCAGTGCGACGTGCACGACAAATTTGCTGCATTTGGTAGCATTTGTCGTCGCAAAGACCAAGTCTTAAGAAAACTCTACGCCTGCTGAAAGTGGAACACGAGATGATCAGCATCCACATCGAGTCAGCAAAAAACAGTGAGCTTATAAATAAGCTAAGCCTTGAGAGGATATTACAAGTGACGATCCAGGAGACGGCAGCAATTGCTCACACCTGAAGGTTATCTACGCTATGAAAATGAAATATGGACACGCCTACCGCGACAACTCATCAGGCATTGATGGAAGCAGCGAGCGCTTTTGGCATTTCTTGAACGTTCATTTTCTCCACCCTTGACGAATTACAAAATTTCGTCGTGAGCGCTCGCAATTTTTTGCGTTCGGCTATAAAAAACGACTACGATCTGGTCTGACGAATGTTAGCGGTGTGTCGCGACATATTCCAGGGAACCGGGGGCTTATTCAAAATCCAAAATATTTAATCGCCGATACTACTGGAAAATCAACGATGGGAACGGTAGCGCTACTATCCTTATTTACAGATGCGGCTTGTACCTAGACCTTTCCGCATCCACTACCTGTCTTATCGAGCGAGAATGGAAGCAGGGAAGATAGAGCACAACTGTTGCGTCGCGAGGGCTGATCGGAGAGCAAGAAGCAGGGGTTACACTAAAGCGTCAGAATCGATAAAGGACCTTTCGAGCCGTCAGTTAGTGCGACACGTCCTTTGATGTTCTATGTGATAGTCAAGTATATTGGTCATGCTCAGTAAGACTAGTGTATGATATTTTGATAAGAGCTGGTCTTGGTAACAGCCGCGGGAGCTTATAACTCGATTCAGCGCATATCGTAGGTCAGAGATACAAGCTCTTGATTGGTCTATGCGGTACGGTCATAGATGCTAAATCGCACGCTCCTACAATACTTTGGTTAGATCTCTCCCACGATCGGCCTCCGTGAAGGGTCACTTAGGCGTTAGAACGCAAGAATCTTTCTGGTTAGTACCAGTGAACACAATACCAACTCTGCACCCCTGCAAGCGAATAACAAAGTTCCACCAATCGCAAGAGATACTGATAGGTCAAGGAGAGCGACACTAAAATGGGTAGGTAAATGTCACGCTCCTTCACCATTCAGGGCTGGTCTCATAGACTAAAATATCTTTGGGAGACGCACAAAAATACTTTCACTGTTGCTATCCAAGCTTGACATTAGGCCGAAGGTAATTGTCTGTCATGACAAGTCACGCAGATTGTAGCTACTAAGAATGGCACAAGAGCCGCTCTCTGTTTGCGTTTCATAGCTCCGCATTGTGTCGTGGTACAGAAGCACCACAGCAAGTCATGTAGACTATGACTGCTGAATAGCTGTAAAGCATTATGGGCGTGAAACATTGTGTCGCGCAGTGTCATGAAATGAATACGCTACGACAGGTAACTTAGATCAAAAGTCACAGACTGTCGGCGGCCAAAGAAACTCTTCAAACAGAAAATCCGTAGATTGCCGTCGTATATATGTTAATTTGACGAGTCATCGCGGAAGGGAATAAATCATTTAGTTGGAGGCACTGTCGGAGAAGTCAACGTTATAAAACAGCAAGGAGCCCACAATTACCAGCTCCTGTTGAGCCAAACGTTAGTGGTTGTCCAATAGTAGTGACCGGTCATGAGTACAGAAATTTGTGCAACCTCATGTTCGATGATGACCTGAATAAGATTTGCAGGCGGTAAGAGACGCACCTGGGCTTTGCAGGGCCAAAGAATATGCCATTGCTGATGAGGTACACTGAGTGATGGGTGCACAATCAAAGGACCCACCGCCTCAATTACCACCGGATAGGGTAGATATGCACAAGGTCTGGGTCACAAAGCAAGGACCTTATTTTAGTAAAATGTACGAGGTGATATAGATTTTTGGCCAGGCGAAGATGAAGTTGGGGTGGGAATCGATATATCCGCACCCTCCGCCAGCTTTTCGTATTCGGAAACAAAATGAAATGTGGCGAGTAGCTCATGCTTAAGAAATTCGACAGTGCCACCGTGCAGGCACATACGATAACAACGTGTTGACGAGCAACATGTCCGGGGAGAAGACCATTTACAATACATCTGTTCGTGTGTAATTTGCTGCCGGATCCGGTTGTGGGATCTCAGCAACAAGTACGCACTCATCCTCATGTTGGGCTTTAAGCTCTCTGGTGTCGACGCGGGCAGCTATCTATACGCCAAATTTGTTGCAGAAATGGTCAGATTATGCGTATCATCGCAAAATCACGTTGACTTGAAGTCGAGCAAGATATAAATGTATGCTTATCATAATTTATTGCATCGATCTAAACATTAGCTGGCGCAATATAGTCAAATCACGGCGAATTTGTGACTGCATTTGTCAGACATACAAGACAAATTCGAAGCCTTTGGCATGGGCTCTGCCCAACGCCGACGACGCACACATCGATTGGGTGAACCATCGATAGAGCTCACTACGAAGGGCTAAAGATCTGCTCTACTATATAGAGCCAGAGGATTCTTCAAGAGTTCTCGATACAAGCGACGAATATCGAAGTGCGATGTAGTTCTGAAGGTGCACAGTCAGCCTGGCGGCGGTTAATTAATTCAATATTTACGTCTCAATGTAACTACTACATACGTACTAGCGGGTTAAACAAGCAGCACACAATTCAGCTCCATTGCAAAAATGTCAGTTTGGACAGCCTCCTGGAAGCCACCTCGATTCTGTTTTGCCAGCTAACGAGAATGAGCACCTACCAGTATTTATATGCCGGCTCAACATCATTGCTAATATATGGAAACAAACAATCAAACCGGTTTTGCACAACGCGTTCTGTCGTGATGATCTGATTGAATCTTTTGCTCAGGTCAGAACCAGCGATTCATCGTTTTCAAATTGTTGAAAGCTAGGCTTCAGATGTTTACAGCCAAATATCTACAGACTGATGGTCAGATCGAGAGGCGTCAACGGTTAGACAGAATTATGCTGCGCTGTTTATGCGTCATAGCGTTGCTAACATGCACCACAAACTGGTCGATGGTTGGGGTTGCACTCAACAATGCGATTTAGGGCTAATTATCTTTAATGTAAATGGATTACGTTACCAAGGCTTGAAGATTCCATGGGCCTTAACGGGTGCGTCGAGTTGACAATGTTGAAAATACTTTTTTGACTAGGTTTTGTTATTGAAACCAATCAAACTAGTACATTAGGACCAACCAGATCAGGCATAGGCGCGTGTCTTTGTAGGACCGCGTGTCTTTGCGGTTAACGTGTAGTGTGCATGTAGAATCCAGCTAAAACTCCTTGAATATATTTCATATTTTACTTTCTTCAGCACAAGTGCCCGACCAATAGGTTATAAGACCAATGGACGACCCAGTTACGTAGACGGCCCCCGCCTCCTCCCTTGCTAACGAAAGGGCCAAAGCACTACAGGAAGAGAAAGTCGCGCCAAACTTTGGACAACTCGTGGAGCTGATGACCAAGCTCGCGGCCAGGGTCGACAGCTTGGGGATGCAACAGCAGGGCTTGCCGATTACGCCGCCCAGATATGAGGCCGGACTTGGTCAAAGCGAATACCTTAAGGCATTGCAGCAAGGAGGCAGTCTGGTAACGCATCGCGTGCAAATGCATGAGCTCGACGCTTCAATCTTCGGCATGGGTGCGCAGACACCAGGCGTACGACTTGGTAATTGACATCAAGAGCGAGGTGTTTCCTTCATGGCTTACAGACCAGCGCCACCACCACCGCAGAATCCGGCCCAGCAACCGGCTACACAATATCGAAGCACCAACCGCCACCGCTCTCAACGAGAAAGTGCCGCTGACCAAGAATATTAACATGCGCAACTTCGATGGCAATGAAGCCTACAATGGACTCGGGAGCTGTCCTAAGCAGCTGGCGCTGCTCTTCATCGAGCAGATTGAGATGGCGGAGCAGGTGTGTGGCTACGCCTGGCCGGAACGGTACAAGGTGAGAAAGTTCGGCCAGCATCTACGTGGTAAAGCTAAGCTCTTCTACCTACATTAAATCATATGCTGGTGGGCCACACAGCCGACGCTTTAGATTTTTATGAACTAGATGCACTTATTGTTCAAGAGAAGAGGACACTCTCGATGCAGCAGGGAATGTAGCTGATCGGAGTCAGGAAGGACCCGTTGTGATCGTGAAATGGGCACTTCCTGTACTTGAATGCTCTCATGATGGCACAAACGCGTCACATATATTGGTACTTGAGAACATCGTCAAGTACGCGAGCTCCCACGCTTTGATGGCCAAACGTGACATCACACGCTTCAACAAGCAAACTAGTTCGTGGTGCGGGCGTGAATGATGTCTGATGAGGACCGAGAGGTAAAGCATGTTGGAAAAGATGACGTAAATGCGGTGTGGTTTCAAAACACAAGAGGTAATGCGGCGATGCCACAACTGCAAGATGGTTGGACACCTGAAGAAAAACTGCCCGGTGCATTTCACTGGAAACGACAAGAGCAAGTCAGTAAAGAACGCACTTGCTGCTGGCAGCAATGCCCAGGTAGTGAATGGTAAGAGCTGGATCCTGGACAATTGTGCTAGCCGACATCTCGTCAGCGACTCCGCGCTGCTGACAGACGTAGTGGAGTGTTCTGTCGAGGATACCTGCATGTTGCCCGATTGTCGGACGATGGATGCGTCCAAGAAAGGATTGGTGATTCTGTGAGCGATTGCTGATGGCGTCACGACTGAGGTAGAGCTCAATGGTTTTTACTATGCACCGATACTGTCGCAGAACCTGATCTCATAGAAATGACTCATTGCAAAAGGATTCTCTCCCATCAAACGCAACAAAAAGTTCGGGTTGACGAAGAGTGACCACGTGATGTTCTCCATGACCTGAAGAACACCGTGCCTAGTGCTAGACTCAAGTTGGGAGCCGCAAACAATGCAAATATGGAAGAACTGACCATGAACGTGGTGAACTTGAGCACGGACGCTGTCTCGTCGGAAGACACCACGGATACCTTGATGAGGTTCCACGCACGTTTTGGTCATCTGGTGCCGGACCAATCGAGCGCATGAAGAAGGACCCTGCATCCGGTATCAAGATTTTGAACCGTGATAGGAAACCATTTATGTTTGTGCTGAGAGCAAGCAAACTCGAGCAAAACAGCCGATTAAAGACACCGGAAAGCACGCACTGATTGACAAAATCGGAGGAGTCATGAGAAGCGGCCTGAAGGGTCTTGCAATGGGGTTACACGTACCCTGGTAATAAAGGTGTATGTCACACGAGATGTGCATGGTGTGACTGCACCCAAACAAAAATACGGTATGTGGCTTGGTAGCCAGTAGTCATGCATATTTATATTTTACTATATACATTTAGTATATTTCGGAAAATCTAAACTTCTAACATTATGATACAAAGATAACGAAGATCAGTTTCGATTTTGAACAGAAGTCTTGGTTAAAACTTTTAAGTACTTTTAGAGGCAGCGGATTGTGATCCGCTGCACAAGTACTTGGTTTTTGTAAAGAACGAAAGGTCGGGGACCTACAGACGCTTCCTCGAGCGCAAAGCTACGGCAGCCTCGCCGCAGGTCTGATGACACCGCTTGGTCGGCAAGGTAATCGATACGTGGTCTGCTTCGTGGACAACATTCAGACTTCTGCAAGGTATTCACGGCAAAAAAGAACAACTTGGCTGCCAAAAAGTTTGCAAACTTTTTTGTTCAATTCGAGAATCAGTTTGGCTGTCGAATTCACGCTCTCCGCACGGATGGCGGAGGAGAATATCAAAACGTCGACCCCGTTTGCAAAGAAAATGGAGTGGCCCATCAAGTGTCTGAAGTCGGAAACCAAGCTGCGAATGGGAAAGCGAACCGGATGCACCGCACAATCCTCAACATGGCTCGGTGCATGGTGTTTGGTGCAAGATTGCCGCTGAGCTTCCGTGGTGGCGCAGCTGAGTACGCCACGTACGTGTTAGACTGTAGCTCGTCGCGCGCCATTGAGGATTAGATGTCGCCACTCAAGCTATTGACTGGTCAAGTGCCATCCCTTTGTGACATCGTGGTGTTAGGATCCAAGTGTTCTGTGTTTCGTACCCTATTAAGCGCATCATGAACAAGAGGGTGTGTGAGGGCGTCATTGTTGGGATAGACGAAATGACTAAGGGGTACAATGTGTGGCTGCCTTCGAAAAGCAAAATTATCGTCATGCGCCATATGCAAAAAAAAACATATGTAAGACACCAGCTGTTTGAATGCCCACAACAAAATGCATCAACGGAGGTATCAAGCACACCACGCAGATCTCGTCGGCTGCCGTGCTGAAGCTGATGAAGATGCGGAGAGAAGCGAGTCAAAATTACCCAGTGGACCTGTTGCTTTGACCGTTCCAAAGCCATTGACCTTAACCGGCATGCAGATGACCCGGAGCCGAATAACAATCGGCAGGAGCGCAAGTGTGTTTAGAGAGTACTGTGGGCGGCAGCTGAACAGGAAATCGTCATTGCCGTTGAAGCTCGTCAAGCGCAAGCCTGGTGTAGTTCGTTAAAACACAAGCGGGTGTACAAGAAGAAGCAATCGATCACTGGAAATATTTAGCGGTACAAAGCTTGACTGGTCGCCTGCGGCAACAAACAGAAGCTCGGCGTTAATTTTTTCCTCGTGTTTGCGGCTGTGATTTCAATGACGGATGTCAAATTTATCTTCGTCATAGCGTTTATATGGGGCGTTCCTGTCAGACTTGGTGATATTCGAAACGCGTATGAAAAGGCGACAACGAAGGAGGACATCGAGATCTTTTTGTTCGTCTCCGACGGGCTCGTCATTACGGAAGTAGAGCTTAAGGCACTCAGGGCTGAGAGCGTGGATGAAAATGGACTGTTTTTCGGACAGAGTCTGTTCGTTGAAGCAGGCAGGGTGCCTCTGACATGAACACCTACATCGTGTGCTGGTCAAGCTTGGGTTGAGCGAGTGTATTTCGGACGCATACTTGTACTTCAAGGCTGACAGTAATGTATATCGGGACATACGTGGACGACTTACTAATGACTGGTAAAAACGACATCAAGGTTTCTCAATTCTCCACTGACATCGCTGTGCTGGAGCTCAAGGACCTCGGCGTTGCCAGCAATTATATCGGGATTCGCGTGCAATACGATGAGCTCAAGACTACAAGTTCGACCAGGAATATGCTATTGTGGAGATGCTCACCAAGTTTGGATGGAGAAAGCAAATCCAGTGCACGCACCGATCGGAGGATAAGCTCCGGCAGAGGCTGATATGGCCAAGCTACTTCTGCATGCAACGAAGGAGACAGCATTAGCGAAACCAACGGTTACTCGTTTTTACTTAATATTGGGGAGTTTGCAGTGGATCGCGAGATGCACGCGACCAGACATCATGTTCACTGTACATCGTGCGACACGTCGAGCGCATGCACCAACGATGGCGGACTGGAAGCTCGCTTAGCGTATATCTGAGTACCTTATTGGCACCCGATCGCACAAGCTTTGCATGTCAGGTGACGACAAGACCAAGGGACTACCGCTGCGGCTGCACGCATACACTGAAGCTGACTTTGCGGCTGACAAGGACGACAGGAAGCCTGTGAGCGCAGCGGTCGTCCAAGTGAACGGCATGACGGTATCATGGCAGTGCAATAAGCATATTTATGTGGCACTAAAGAAAACTGAGGCGGAGTACGTCGCTGCGACGGCGGGCATACAAGAGCTACTCGGACGGAAAGAGCTTCTGGGTGAGCTGGACATCGCCGTCAAATTGCTTATAGAGATACTAATGGACAAAAGCGGCTATCGAGCAAGTGCAGAGCTAAACGAGTTCAGTCAAGGCGGAGCACGTGGACGTGAAGCTCAAGTTTATCCAAGGCTGTGCACGTCGTGGTGCCAGAGTATGTTGCTAGAGTTCCAATGCTCGCGGACCTCCTGACAAAGTCGCTGCCGGCGCCACGAATGGAGGAGCTTCGGGAAAAGATTGGAGTTGTCAACATCGAGTTATTTAGGAACCCCGAGGCACTAGGATGGAGTATTAGATATTGATAAAAAGCCAGCATATGTGCAGGCGACCGGAAGCCAGATCCCCGTGGGCATTTACGAATGTGTCGAGTCGTCATTGTTGAACGTACAATTTTGACTAGGTTTCGCTATTGATGCCAACCGAATGACGTGTAGACTTAAAACCAATCAGATCAGGCGTAGGCGCGTGCCTCTGTGGAATGCGTGTCTTTGCGGATAACATGTAGTGTGCATGAATCCAGCCAAAACTCCTTAAGTATATTTCTCACTTTCACTTCTACCTTCTTCAGCACAAGTGCCCGACCAATAGTCGCCTCATTACGGCGCTCTTCGTAAGACCTTTTTGCACATACGCTTACATCCCGAGATATGGTCGTTTATTCATGACATGAAAAAACGGAAGCGCTGGTCATGCTAATTGAGAACCAGACCAAGCTTTGTTTTCTACTTTAGATCATTATCGGATGTGATGCTGTAAAGATGATGTCAGTCCCAGAGAGACATATCCGTTTGAGCCCAGGACGTGACATTTGGCGCAATATTCAAAGGTAGGAAGGGCCAACCGTTGTCCCCCACACGTTTCGCGATAAAATGAAAGATCATTTGGCAAAATTTGTGATGGCAATAGTAGCACGCAGCGAGCAGCTTCAATGTTGCGCTGAATCAGAGAATCTTTCGAATGATGCGGCGCTCATATGACTCTTCAATCCTCGCGTTTCATAGAGATGCTCATGGAAAGCATGAGTCTAATGATATTCGGCAGGCGATTCACAGTCCTTAAGGCTAGATAAACTTCTGCGTGGTGCTGTTGTACTTTACGTCGGCGAAGACGGTTTAGCTACAGCAATGATGCATAGTCTGAAGAGCGACCTGCTGGCGATCAAAATCGTTAGTGATCGCTTGAAGAGAATTAACAGATCGCTTTCCGCCTCTCAGATCTCCGCATTGATCAATGATCTCAATAAGATTGCGGGAAAACTTGGGCTCGCTATAATTGGCGAGCATCTGATTGCAAAGCTGTGCATTCCTGACCGCTCTCTCACTACTCGATGGTGTCAGACCAGTCCGGGTCAGGTAGTAGGACTCACTATCCGAAAGTAAAGAAGTCACTGAAGCATCCTCAAAATCGGACGTCTACGTTTTTTGAGCGTCAACATTGGTTCCACGTCCAAACTGAAGGACGATCTTTTGCGAGCGACAGCCTGCAACTGTATTGGATCTTTACAAGCTTAGTCATATCTGGACGTTTGAAATCGATGTCGCACTTTAACGGGAAGGCACCTTGGCCTGTTTGTCGTGACCCCGTCGTGATGATCTGTAAAATACTCATGCTATTAATTGCCGCGCTATAGTTTTGTATCTTTGCCAGCACCACAGCTGAATGACATGATTGAATTCATTAGAGAAGTCACCTACTTCATATTGTATAAATTTAAGCAATGGAGGATGTAACGGGGCTATGTAACGCTCCGGTGTGTTGTCCACATACGCTCTCGTATATAATGTCACACTGAATGTTGAAGCAGCCACGCCCTGGACTTTAATGCGATGTTTTGATAGATTTAGCCTTGGTTACAGACAGTTCATAAGTCGGCAAAAAATCTATAGTATTGCCGACCTCATTGTTGGTAAAAGCCAGCAGTCGTAAACGTTTGTTAACTGGGAATTGGTACAGCTCCCTATGCTTCTGCAAGCAAACGGGATATCGACCCACAACAGTACAATTATATCATAAACTAGACGAAGCTGCTAGGCAACAGTTTATATCAACCCTCCGCTGGCCGTGTGCAGGCTCCGAATTTCGTCCTGATGCAAAATGGCGGTCCTAGAAGTCCAAACTGTCCAAAACTAGAGATGATAGCTCTCCATCACGTACCAAGTATTTCAACTGGCTTGTAGATAGCATACTGTTGTATAATCAAAATCAGTTCGGCAGCTCACGAAACCAACATATTTGTTCCCATCAAGGTGATGCATCCAGTGTCATACGTTATACTATTTCCGTGGGCTCATAGATTGGTCTCTTCGTATAGGTGATCGGATTAGGCAACGGTTGAAAGGAAATTGTACCTGTGTTGTAAGCAAGACTGCACACCGAGTTTTGTCCTTGAAAAAAGCGCTGTTGTTCCGATCCAATAAATTCTACTGCACATACTTTGCTTTGGAAATGCTGACTACCTCAGTATTGCTCGTAACCAAGCTTACAGGTTAGAGCTTACAGACATGTATTGTGATAGGATAATATATTTGTGATAATTGCTCATTGTCATTCTAACATATTGCTCCGATGAAACTTCGAGCTCTGTTGCCCTCGCTTTTTTTAATTTACGATGTCGCTTTACTTACCTCACCAATGTTGTTCCATGGGACATCTTAGAGGAATCAGGTCATGTTAAGAAAAATAAATAGCGGGCTCTCTATGATTTAGTCAATGGAGAAGCAACAGAACCCGAGCGCAATATCATGTAGTTCTGACAGTCAGCGATACTTTATCAGCGTTCAGCGCTCATTTTTTTATACTTTTCGCCATGTCATTCAATGGTAACGACTTCTTGTTACATTCGAACATATACATAAGTTGTGCTGAGCGTCAAGTTCCGCCTTATCTTTCCTTTATGCAGCATTGCGATTGCAGATATTTTACGTCATACGATACATTTTTTTTCTTTTTATCTGGTCCGCGAAGACGAGCGAAGTGTACGGTCACACGTATTATACACGTCTGTTTCACAGATCTCGCGTGCTACAGAAGCGCCATTGTAGATTGACAATCGATCAATATGTAGTCTAGGCAAGAATAATCCCACCTGCTGATGGGCAACATGTGGTGATAAGGCCGTGTACGTACACTACACGTATGTATTATTAAAAAAATATTTATTTCATCAGGTATACAGATATTAAAACACCATCCTTCAAGCCTCTATCTAGGATGAGCAATATATCCTAGATAAACATATTGTACATCATGTGATGAAGAGTATGTATTCTGCGCTTTAGGCTCATTCAACTTTATTCCATCCTGCTTGAAGTATCTAAATCATCAATTTGTACTTGCTTTATCCTGTCATGCACATCTCAGGGGTCCTGATGGTACTCAGCTACACCAGAAGATAATGAGAACGTAGAACATAGAAGCCTTTGTGTTTTTGCACTGGCGTCGAGAGAATCAATAGAGACGCCAGATGACAACAGGTCACTCACCTGCTCCTTTCCGTCCGCTAAACTATATGTAGCTTAACTATATGAGAAAGATCTAAGCTTGAGTTCTGCAATCGGAATAATTCAATCCTAAGCATTGCGATGTTTAGGTTTGGCTACAAATATATTTCAAAATGGCGATGTCTAAAATATGTAACATCAACCATGCGGCCAGTTACATCAACTTATTGATAATAGAGTACACTAGTCAGTGTACCGCTATCCAGATCAGCCGTTACGAAATGACCCAGATTTATCCTGTCATGATCCATCATTATAAATTGTCAAATCTTGAGTGATGCTAATATCTAATGTTTGAGGTTTATCAGTCAAACATCTAGAGTAGGTCATATTCGAGCTGAGAGTTTTTTGCTGCTTATAAAAAATGCTTCACATCAAATGATATGCAATTAGAGAAACACATCTCGATACTGCTAAATTCGATCAAGTAGTAAAATGCTTCATAACCACAACATCTGATATCACAAGCCTAACCTTTCTCTGGTCGGTGGGAAACCTTATCACTAGAGCGTGAATGATGCACTAAACGGAAAAAGCGTTATATCCTCCTCTCTATACCAGTTCGTGTTTAGAGTTATTCTATCAAAATCGTTTTTTTAGGATTCCATTAGTAGAGGGTTCACCACTCAATATTAAGTATGAGAGCACTCGACGACTATCTTATAGAGCTTGCCAGTTGTTGCAGTCGTCCGTTTTCTTGCTCTTCATCATCTCCACACCAAGTGTGATGTTTGTCAAGCGCCCAACCGTCCTACCGACAAAAATTACAAGGCTTCACTTCCAAATCTTTCGTCTTGTCCGCACTTGAAGCCAAAACCATCACTCTGCACTCCACGCGCCCAACCATGTCGGAAGAGGAAGGCAAACTCAAGCTACTGCAACCTGAGGCCGACAAATCTGATAGTGTACCCGAGGTCTACCGCTCGCTTAATTTCCGCAGTCTCCAAGACCCGTACTCGCATCACCATGACACCATGGCCAGTCATTATAGTACTCTTCGTGCGGACGACCTTGAGACCATGCTTAATGGTGGACTTGAGCGCTTTTACAAAAAGTACGATCATCTCTCGCGCAAGATCAACCTCCAACTGCCAACCGCCGAAGTGCGTTTTGAAAACTTGTCTTTCACTGTGCAAGTACCTGCGTCGGTAGAAGACCATGGTACTGTTGGGTCGTATCTACGCAAGATTTTTACCCCGTGGAGGACTCCAGCCATGGTTACCAAACACGCGTTGCACCCGATGAGTGGCATTATCAAACCTGGCACGTTGACACTGATTCTAGCCAATCCAGGTGCTGGCAAGTCGACATTTCTTAAAGCTTTAGCTGGAAAGCTGCAAAACTCATCGAGAACTGCATTAGGCGGGGACATTTTGTACTCTGGACTGCGTGGTGATGAGATTGATTTGATTAAACTGGTGGGAATGGTTGATCAAATGGACAATCACATTCCAACATTAACCGTTCGAGAGACATTCAAATTTGCCGACATGTGTGTCAACGGACGTCCAGAAGATCAACCAGAGGCAATGCGTGAGATCGCAGCGTTGCGAACCGAATTATTTCTACAGATTTTGGGTATGGAAGAATGTGCTGACACTGTTGTGGGGGATGCATTGCTACGAGGTGTCAGTGGCGGCGAACGCAAGCGTGTCACGATTGGGGAAGTTCTGGTCGGCGGTCAAAGTTTGTTTTTGTGCGATGAGATCTCGACTGGTCTCGATAGTGCGGCCACATTTGACATCATCAAGTCACTACGAACGTGGTGCAAGACACTTGGTGGCTCTGCCATCATTGCACTCCTGCAGCCAACACCAGAAGTCGTGGAAATGTTTGACGACATATTTATGGTAAATGATGGTCACCTAGTGTACCACGGCCCACGGACCAGCATACTAGACTACTTCGAAACCCATGGATTTACGTGTCCACCTCGTGTCGATCCTGCCGATTTTTTAATCGAGGTCACGTCGGGTCGTGGTCACATGTATGCAAACGGAAGCGTTCCATCTAAAGATCTAGCTGTCTCGTCAGAAGATTTCAACCATCTCTTCTGCCAGTCAAGTATTTACCGCAAGACGCACGAAGCCATAAGTAAAGGCTTTAACGAACACCAATTTGAGAGTCCAGAGGATTTCAAGAAAGCTAAGAGCGTTGCCAACTTGGCACGCTCGAAAGAAAAGTCGGAATTCGGCTTGGCATTCGTTCCTAGTACGTTGCTTCTTTTCAACCGTCAAAAATTGGTTTGGATTCGTGACCCACCACTTCTATGGGGGAAACTTTTAGAAGCGTTGATTATTGGGCTTGTCATGGGTATGATTTACTATAATGTGAACTCGACGTACTATTTGCGCATGATTTTCTTCAGCATTGCACTGTTTCAACGTCAAGCGTGGCAACAAATCACCATTGCGTTTCAGCTGCGTAAAGTTTTTTACAAGCAAAGACCACGTAACTTTTTTCGCACATCTTCTTATGTGATTGCCGAGAGCATTGTGCAAATACCAGTCAATATGGCCGTGTCGTTTGTATTGGGCACGTTCTTTTATTTTATGAGTGGCTTGACCCGGACTTTCGAGAAGTATATTGTCTTTTACCTTGTACTTCTGTGTTTCCAGCACGCCATCAGTGCGTACATGACACTTTTAAGTTCACTTTCTCCAAGTATCACGATTGGGCAAGCGCTTGCCGCTATTTCCGTTAGTTTCTTTCTCTTGTTTTCGGGTAACATCATTCTCGCTGACCTAATACCAGACTATTGGATCTGGATGTATTGGTTCTCTCCAATTTCCTGGGCTCTACGAAGTAACATGCTGTCAGAGTTTTCAAGTGATCGATACACAAGTGACGAAAGTCGCGCAAAACTTGACAGTTTTTCCATCACACAGGGCACCGAGTACATTTGGTTTGGTGTTGTCGTACTCGTTATGTACTACTTTGCATTTACTGGACTGAATGCTTTGGCGTTGCACTTTATCCGGTATGAAAAGTTTAAAGGGGTGACTGCTACGACTGTGAAAGAAGAGAATGACACGCAGAACGTTTACGTGCAGGTAAATACACCCAAAGTTGGAGGCGATGCAAGCAAGGCCAAAGGTGGTGGTTTGCCGTTTACACCTACCAATTTGTGCATCAAAGACTTAGATTATTACGTGACATTACCATCGGGTGAGGAAAAACAACTTTTGCGGAAAGTCACGGCTTATTTTGAACCTGGCCGCATGGTGGCCCTAATGGGCGCTACTGGAGCAGGTAAGACGACGTTAATGGATGTAATTGCCGGACGTAAGACAGGAGGTCGTATTGTTGGCGACATATATGTCAATGGAGAGCTAAAAGACCCGACTATTTTCAGTCGGATAACAGCTTATTGTGAACAAATGGATATACACTCTGAAGCGGCGTCGATCTTTGAAGCGCTTGTGTTTTCAGCAAAATTACGCTTGCCACCGACTTTTTCAGAAGAGGAGCGCATGAATCTTGTTCACGAGACTTTGGAGCTGTTAGAGCTGACGACCATTGCTAGCGAAATGGTGGGCAGTCTTTCTGTGGAGCAGAAGAAACGCGTGACAATTGGAGTCGAAGTTGTGGCAAATCCCAGTGTTTTGTTCCTTGATGAACCTACGAGTGGCTTAGACGCACGTTCGGCATTAATCGTCATGCGTGGCGTACAGTCGATCGCTCGTACAGGCCGCACTGTGTTGTGCACGATTCATCAGCCCAGTATTTCCATCTTTGAGCTCTTTGATGGACTCTTATTGCTTCAGAAAGGTGGCTACACTGCATACTTTGGCGACCTTGGTGTTGACTCGGTGAAGATGCTTGAGTATTTTGCTTCGATTCCGGGAACTGAAGAGATCCGACCCCAATATAATCCCGCCACGTACATGCTGGAAGTTATCGGCGCTGGAATCGGCCGCGATGTAAAAAACTACTCGGTTGAGTACAACAACAGCGAGTTGTGTGCTAAAAACCGGGAACGCACACTGGCCTTATGCGAGCCATCAGATGAGTTTATACGACATTCGACTCTCAACTACCGACCAATTGCTACAGGCTTTTGGAATCAGCTGCAAGAACTCACGAAGAAACAGCGGCTTACGTACTGGCGAAACCCGCAGTACAACTTCATGCGACTCTTTCTCTTTCCCATTTTCGCCGTCATCTTTGGAACAACATTCTATCAGCTTTCGGCTGACAGCGTTAAGCGCATCAACTCGCACATTGGTCTCATTTACAACAGTATGGACTTTATCGGTGTCACAAACCTCATGACTGTCATTGAAGTCACGTGTGCTGAGCGTGCCGTGTTTTATCGCGAGCGAATGTCGAATTACTACAGTCCCTTACCCTACAGTCTATCACTGTGGTTTGCCGAGATCCCGTATCTTGTTGTGGTCATCATTCTCTTCGTAACAATAGAGTACTGGCTCGTGGGCTGGAGTAATGATGGCGGTGATTTCTTCTTCTTTCTCTTCATTTTCTACCTCTACACGTCGGCTTGTACTTACATGGGTCAATGGATGTCAGCATTGATGCCGAATGAAAAGGTTGCCAATGTCGCTGTCGGCGCACTATCGTGTCTACTGAATCTTTTTTCTGGCTTTTTGCTTCCGCGTACAGCAATGAAGGCTGGATACAAGTGGTTCACGTACTTGATGCCGTCGAGTTATTCTCTTGCAGCGTTGGTCGGCGTGCAATTCGGGGACAAACAAGACCTTATTACCGTCACGTCTGGAAACACGACGACCGAGATGTCAGTGGCTACATACATCGAAAACATCTACGATTTTCGACCCGATCGCAAGTACAATTTCATGGCCGGTCTCATTGTCATTTGGCTAGTTGTTCAATTGGCCATTTACCTTACTTTTAAGTATGTGAGCCACCTGAAGAGATAGAGGCGATGGAGGTATGGAAGACGACGATCTTCTAGTTCTGTAATCCATAATTAATGCATATGTGTACATTTGTATCATTTGTATCATTTGTCAAGTTTTGAGTAGCGAAAATATCCTTGGGTCGCCCTGTCTGCGAGAGTCAGTTAAAAAAACTTTTTTCTTTAATCGATTAGCCGTTGGAGTGCGCCAACGTTTGCATAATGCGCAAGACCAGTGACGCAATTTGCACACATACTATTAGCCTTCTTATTAAGACTCGAACCTTTGCAGATTATTTAAATTTGGACTGACTGTTTTTTATCTCCTATAAATAAATGAGCAAAAAATCTAACTCAGTTTTAACGACAAAGATATTGAGGTCCAATCAGACCCGTATCATTTTGGCAAACTCAAATATTAAATAAAACACTGTGCAAGCTTAGTAGTGGCCGATGAGTTCATCAACTGTTCGCTGACTAAGGCGTACTCTAAGAGTCAATCATCATCTGTTCTGGAGCGGTGGTGCAACGGATTTGCCGCGCACTTTGCACAGAGAAAGCCTAGACTCAGAGATTCAGTAATTACAAGCGCACAAGTTTTGGGCTTAAGCGAACCACTCAGGAGCAAAATCGAGAACCTGTAAAGCAATCAGTTATCTATAAAGCTTGCTCTGCTCTTGATACTTAATCTCATCTGGTACGTCTAAGCTTTACTTGAAGCTCGAGAGCAATAACAATGAAAGCACTTACGCCACCACATCCTTCCCCACCAAAATGGTTACCCCACTGAGGTCACATATTTTTGTAATATACTACGGCAGTGCGCATATAATGAAGGCTCTACGAGCACCTATCAGACCTGAAGTTCTCTATGACCAGCGACCCACATCATGAAGGACATATTTTAGCTCGTTTGATCCACCCAGGTGCAAAATAGGAAGCGTTTATACTAATCCTGTTAATGAGCTAGATTATTCAAAGTTTAAAGTATCACGAAATATTAAAAATTACGGTTTCCAATAACAATACCTTTATTGTTTGCCTTGAGGCTGCAGACCACGTATCTCCCACCCTCTCCTTTACGCAGTCATTACAGTGGTGTCTCTGACAGCTCTCATTTTCACCAGGGCGTAATGGAGATTTCGACAATTGTACAATATCATATTTTTCGCTGTCGCGTAGAAATATATGGTTTTCTTCAAGAAATTAAAACTTGTGCCCCGACCACCCTTCCACCATGATGTGGACTTGAAACTGCTTTTATCCTTTGCAACATTCATTGCACATAAATCATTGTTCAAAGAATACTCATTGCAAGCCGCCAAGAGCGGCGCCGCTCTAGGATCGAAAGATCATTCACCATGATCGATGAGTTGTTTGAGGTGCGCGTCAGTAAGAACAGTCGCGATGTTATACCGAGCCCTGTCTTAATACCTCCGCTTTCGAAGTTTGTAAGGTGGAGCCGTTTACAGATAACATAACACACTTCATGTTTTTCTCTCCCATGCACGAACTACGTACTCCCTATCTGCTCCTTACGGCGACTATCGTCTCGATACTTCGTCACGGGTTTTGCGATATCATCCAGCCCGTCGACAATGGAATGAACATGGGTCAGAAAAAATGTTAAAGCGTCTTCAAGCGCATGAGCCGCGCCGTGTCGTAGGTGTGCCGTTCCTATGGTCGCAAGCTTTCCACGAAAACAGAGATCGTAAAACGCCCATTAGGTCGCTTAGTGAGCGATTTTTGATCCAACGAGGTGCCTAAGCATTCAAGGGAACTGTAGTTTTCACGAGGACAGCTCCTTGGGTAAAGAATATATTGGTACGTATCGCCAAATAAGTCACCATATAGCATGCGATAGTGTATCGTTGGGGTGACTCGAAAGCCCAACCCACCATAATCCAACTAAGGTCGTCTTTCAATGTACCTGGCAAAGCAAATCTACCCGATCACTCTTTGAGAAAGATGTGGTGACGACGACGCTGTGCGCAACGCCGCTTCACAAATGGCTTAAAGTATCCTTAACTTAGCAAGAGAAAACTCCATTGCCAAAATGTGCTCGACGTGAACTAGGTATTTAATATTACAAGTTCAAGCTGGCGAGACTAGATTGAAATTACGTGATCATGCCCAGCGACATCGACTTGAAGGTAAGCGTAGCTTGAGCCAAATATTGAAGCACATGAAATGACCAATTCGGAATTTTATGATCCAAAGTTGGGGTAAATATGCGTTTCTCTCTCATAGGAAAAAAATCGCAAATTCTGCTGCGTGAATACACATATACTATCAACTTCTACATCATCACGCTCGGCGTTTAAACCGCAGTGATAGAGATATCCTCTTTTCCGAGCAGCTGATAGCACGTACAGAATGAAACAGGGCAGGCAAATAACTAATACAGATAATGCAATTCAGCAGAACATTTTATATAGACGCCGGTGTTTGCGCCAGGATAGTGGCGCCTCTAGTTTATATAAGCATGCTCACTTGCCGTTTTCCATTAGCCTTTTTGTAGCCAGAACCAGCACCGAATGGGGCGATTGAAACCCTGATATCTGACTCGTCTTAAACCTAGTGCAGAGGAAAGCGTATTTAACGAGATACTGTTATCTACGTGCGACTAACGTCGTGTGACGCAGAATCCAGAAATTCTTCTGAGGAGCCTCAATTTTGTGACGCATTCTTTTTTAGCTCCGGGGCAAAAAAAGCGGTGGGGGTCTATTCAGCAAAGTGCTGCTAGTTCATTGACAAAGGTTAAAAATCCGTAAAGTTCTGTCCTATAATTGCACTTAGTGCCCCGCATATATAAAATCGTCCTTAACACATGATGAGAATAACTCGTCCACAAAGGATGATCTTTTTTGTTTGGTTGAAGTGGCACTCTTAATGTGCATGACAATTGGCAGCGCTTCAAATTCAATCCAAGTTTGAGCTAGCAGCAGGTGCCGGGCGACGTGCTGCTGCAAATTCATTCCATGTTATGTGCAAGTAACGGAGTTACACGTTCCCTTGTGTAGAAGGGCGGGTCACGCAAGTTGTGTGACCTTACAAAGGTGTGGATTTTACAGGTTGGTGAAATCACACAATGGTGTGGCTACTTCGTAACAAGAAGCGACCACGTGGTAGGACTGCCTGTAGTGATGCATTTTACAATATTAAGTAGGTGTAAATATATGAATTGAGTATTTCTATATTAATCAGGAAAACCTAAAGTCTTAGATATTGGCGGCGCTACCGCAACTCGAACAATTTAATATAGTTTCAATTTTGAAAGGAAGAGCGTTGTTTCCTTGGCTAATGCTTTGTATCTAAAAAGTAGCGGATTGCGATCAGCGACCTTAGCTTAGCTTCCTCTAAGCAAGAGCTACGGCAGCCCCGCCGCACTTGGTAGCACTCGTAGTCAATCTACGCCTGAGTCGTTACGACCGATCGTCTGTGAGGATAATGCAGTACTCGTATATACCCCAGGGCATGCAGGACGGGCTTAATAAGCTGATGTCTCTGCTGGACCCTGAGGGAATTAAGCACCTCAATGCGCAAGGGCCCGAGGCTATAAGCGCGCGCCTAGAGGCAATTCTAAGTTATGAAAATGCTCTGTTAGAGCACCTACAGCAGGAGCTGTCAGCGTCGACTGTATCCATGACAACACTGGCGACGACGAATGACCACTTCCGACCCAAGCCGCTTATGGTGAGCATTAAAACCTTCGTGGGAAGGATGGGGAGAATCTTCTGCTCTGGATAAGAGAGGCCGAGCTGGCTATGGCATCCGCCATGCTCCAGAACAAGCAACAGCGCGTGGCGCTAGCTATCTCCAAGCTCGGGAATCTAGCGCGAGATTTGGTACTAACGTGCGGTATTTCGATTGAAGCTACGTTCCCGTCCTGGAAGGAGCTCAAACGTCAGCTCTCACGAGTGTTTTCGCCGCCTCATTAGGTATATCGCGTGAGATCGCGTTTCCTTGCTGCCCGACAGGGCACCAAGGATTTGGTAGACTTTGCTCGATAGTTGAGAACTCTCATCGCCGGGATGGCAGCCGATCCTCTCCCCGAGACGATCGCAGTGAACGGGCCTCCGCACTGGCGTGGCCAGAATGGAAGTCTTCCGTGTGCATCCGTCTTCTTTTGGAAAAGCGGTGAATGTGGCATTGAATACCAAACTCAACTTTAAGTCGGCAATACTTGGTTGGAATGCACACTCTCAGATATCGTCGAGAGGGCCTGAGCCAAAGGAACTCAGCTATGCTGAGAAGGCGGAGGATAATCTCTGAGCTGCCGAGCAGCTTGTAAACACCCGACGGTGTTTTGTTTGTTGAGCCACCCGTCACCCATGAAGGGGGTGTCCCTTGCGCAAGGCGCGTAAAGGTTCGTCGAACCGTTGTCCCGCTACTAATCAGTCCGATTTGTCTCGGGGAATCGAGAAAGACTAGTAGGCGCGGAACGACCAACTGGGAAAGGACTCAGTTCTGTCGTTCCTCAAAGTGGTAGATGGCAGCAGGGCCCAGCTCCGAAGAGCTCCGTGCTACAAGCCGGGTTTGCTGATCGTGAAAGCGACCGTGAAGGGCTTTGAGAAGCCATGGAAGATCCTTTTTGACTCCTCGGTGTCGGGCAATTATGCTCGACGCTCCACGATCGAAAAAAATCAGCTGTATGCTGAGGCGCTGAAAGCACAATTGAGTGTCACCGTCACTGTTCGCTTAGCGACGGGGACTTGTGTCACTGTGCTAAGGGTCCCTGTGGACCTCGGTGTCAAGCTCCTTGACTCTGATACCGTAGAACGCTGCCTAGTCTTAGACTTGGATGCAAGGTATGACCTTATCGTTATTATGGCATGGTTGGGACACCATGAGCCATGGATTGACTGGAAGTCGAAGATCTTGGGCGCTTTGCGCTCGTCTCCTGGTGCAGATTTAGTGAGACATGAATACACCTGTTAGGAAGCAGATGCACTATTGGTGCAGCACTGGACCGGGAGGTGTATGTGCTGGATATCGAAGTGTCCGAGTTGTCAAACATCAAAAGTGTTTTGGACAAGAGTCCCGAGGGTGGCTCGCGGGCTGAACGTGGAGTGGCACTTAATCCACTGAGCGCTACTCATGTATTGGAGCGGTCGCTGCATGCCAAGAGTGACATGGTCGGTCAAGGATCGAGGCATCAAGGGCGAGACGCTTGAGATGCACGTGGAGTGGCACGTAACCCACTGAGCACTGCTCAAGTTTTAAAGCAGTCGCTGAATGTCATGCGTGACATGGTCGGCCAAGGGCCGAGCCATCGAGGGCGAGGCCCTCGTGATGCGCGTGGAGTGGCAAACCAAAACCACGAAAACCACTGAGCACTGCTCTCGTTGCAAAGCAGTCGCTGCATGCCATTGATGG